GCTAAGACTGAAACAAGTGATGCTGAAAAGTTGAAATTATTTTTGGCTAATTTAATTAAAAAGGAATTATACTTTATCAAGTAGTGGACGGTTGTTACCAAAGATAAACTTATGTCGGATATTTAAGTTTAGTTTACACTGTTTTGAATTATCTTGAATGATATAGGGAGACAAAAAAATTTTTACTACAATCCGTTAAGTATCTGTTTTATTAAAAGTAATGCTAACCGGCTTGCTGAACGAAACTCCGACATTTGATTGGAATATAGGCAGATTTCACAAGTTGGTGTGCTTTCATTGATATCCCACCTAATTTCTTTTCGATCCCATAAAGCAGCTGTAATCCTGCCAGCTCCGAGTAAAAACTTTTGAATTCTCTGCTGCAGTTGGTGAGCTGCAAAAAAAATTTGAAGCTTTTGCACACCGAAGGCCTCATATATATATTTGGAGGAGGGTCCTTTAAGGAAGTTCCTAACCCAAAAAAAAAACTGCGACGTCAGCGAAGTCGGCGCTTGTGGGCAGCCAAGGAAACACGGGCAGTACCTATGTGATGGTAGAACCCTGCACTTCCCGGCTGAGGACCAGCGAGCAGCAGTAAGACATTATTAGCGGATTTAATCGTAAGTGAGAATACAATTACATTTTACTGGTGACAGAGATTAAAACAGTTTACCAATTAAACTAATTTTGCAGAACAAAGTTTTGTTTTTCTTCTTTTAATGCTTTTTGAATAAAACTTGTAATTTAACCTGGTTGTCAACGCAATTCGCTGTGCAGTGGGCATGTATACAGACCGCATATCGGTTTTCTCTTGTGCTTTCTTCGCCTGAACAGTACTCGGCACACTGATCTTCCAAATTCTTATTATTTTTTAACAAGCACTCTTGCGCCATCTGAATGTCTAAAAAATGGTCTTTTGAGGCTGGAAAAAGGAAACTCTTTTGGCTTGCTGACCTCGTTCTACTTCCAGCTAAGCAAGCTAATGGGTTTTAATGGTCATTTATGTATCTGTGTTTCATTACAATAAAGGAAGATAGTGTTAGTAAACTGAAAGGGCTAAAGAAAGTAAGATGTATTTGCCGGATCTTTTTTCTAGACTGAATTGGTACGTTTTGAAAAATGTTTGGAGCTTTTAATTTGGTTGATTTTTGTAAGTGCACTTATATAAAACTATTCTTGCACTTTAAAAGTTGTTCTTTTTTGTGTTTATTTCAAACATTGATTATTTTAGAACGACAAATTCTGAATGTTGAAGAGAAGCTTTGAAAGAAAAGTGTTCTGGATAGTTTATAGTAACGGACGTCCAGCTAAGTCG